TACAGGTGTATCCGAACAGTTTTCACCTGGTTGTAATGATTACAAGTACAGGTGTATCCGAACAGTTTTCACCTGGTTGTAATGATTACAAGTACAGGTGTGTCCGAACAGTTTTCACCTGGTTGTAATGATTACTAGTACAAGTGTATCCGAACAGTTTTCACCTGGTTGTAATGATTACAAGTACAGGTGTATCCTATCAGTTTTCACCTGGTAGTAATGATTACAAGTACAGGTGTATCCGAACAGTTTTCACCTGGTAGCAATGATTACAAGTACAGGTGTATCCGAACAGTTTTCACCTAGTTGTAATGATTAATAGTACAAGTGTATCCGAACAGTTTTCACCTGGTTGTAATGATTACAAGTACAGGTGTATCCTATCAGTTTTCACCTGGTAGTAATGATTACAAGTACAGGTGTATCCGAACAGTTTTCACCTGGTAGCAATGATTACAAGTACAGGTGTATCCGAACAGTTTTCACCTGGTTGTAATGATTACAAGTACAGGTGTATCCGAACAGTTTTCACCTGGTTGTAATGATTACAAGTACAGGTGTATTCTGACAGTTTTCACCTGGTTGTAATGATTACAAGTACAGGTGTATCCAAACAGTTTTCACCTGGTTGTAATGATTACAAGTACAGGTGTATCCGAACAGTTTTCACCTGGTTGTAATGATTACTAGTACAAGTGTATCCGAACAGTTTTCACCTGGTTGTAATGATTACAAGTACAGGTGTATCCTATCAGTTTTCACCTGGTAGTAATGATTACAAGTACAGGTGTATCCGAACAGTTTTCACCTGGTAGCAATGATTACAAGTACAAGTGTATCCGAACAGTTTTCACCTGGTTGTAATGATTACAAGTACAGGTGTATCCTATCAGTTTTCACCTGGTAGTAATGATTACAAGTACAGGTGTATCCGAACAGTTTTCACCTGGTTGTAATGATTACAAGTACAGGTGTATCCTATCAGTTTTCACCTGGTTGTAATGATTACAAGTACAGGTGTATCCGAACAGTTTTCACCTGGTAGTAATGATTACAAGTACAGGTGTATCCTATCAGTTTTCACCTGGTTGTAATGATTACAAGTACAGGTGTATCCGAACAGTTTTCACCTGGTAGTAATGATTACAAGTACAGGTGTATCCGAACAGTTTTCACCTGGTTGTAATGATTACAAGTACAGGTGTATCCTATCAGTTTTCACCTGGTTGTAATGATTACAAGTACAGGTGTATCCGAACAGTTTTCACCTGGTTGTAATGATTACATAAAAAGTTACTTAATTCAGAAACTAAATTATTTCAGTGTCCAAGGCAAGAAAGAACAAAAACTTCCAGACAAACATTTGGGAACATTTTCTTTAGGACCTATTATAGTAGTTCTTATCACACAGTCAGTAGAAGATTTTATGTGATATTTCAATGACTACACAGTTATCATCATCAGACAAATGACCAGTGTGCTAACACTGACAAACAGTATTTAACATGGCAAGGAATCAACATTTACGACTGTACTATAATCCTATGCACAGTGAGGTCAAAAATAGTGTGACGAGATGACAGACAGATTTAAGAAGTAATTACTGAATGTCAATAAAATCAAATTAAAGCCGAACAGTATTTTTCTATAGACTTTTGTGTAAAAGAACCATTCCCAGGAACGCAAACGTATAACTGTTTAAAATACAGATTCCAAACACAGAATTTCCATCATAATGTTTGGAACTTGTTAATCAGGTTTCACAGAACTATCAATACCTGCCATAGGATCGGAGGTCTTGTCAGATAATACAGTATTTCTCTGGAAACTTTTTAATAAGAACATCAGCATAGAAAACGAAACCATAAAATTCTTTGAACTTTTCAGATTTTTATTAGAATATGTTTAAAATTTTTTTAGTTCTATTTTCTTTCTTGTTTCATTCACAAAAAATATTAAGAAATACTGTTTAGAAGATAAGTAAAGCAGACCATGATTGACATGTTCCAGGGTAAAACCTAACGAGCGTTATCAGGATGTGAGTGAGGTTGATATCAGGGCAAATCAACGAAGCTGCCAGTCCATCAAGTGGCTGTTGGGATAAGGACTTATTGTTAGTTACATAACTACAGCCTCACTATGGTCACACTAGGACTCCAGCATCCATACCGCCTTGTCTTTAATCACACTTACAGCGGATGGACCTGCTCACCCCTGGTAAACATCTTGTTTACATGGTTATTTAATTAACCACAAAAGTAGAGGCCTGTATGGGTGAGCTCTTAGTTTTAATAGCACATGATGATTTAACGTTAGCTAACTAAGGAAGGCTAATCAAATAAAGATGGATCTCGACATATAGAAAATCTACGTTTAAAGATATAATCTACCTTACTGTGAATTGTACCTTCATTCCAAAAGATTTCTTTTGTAAAGAATGTACAAAACTATTAGTGTAACCAGACAAGTGAACAACACTTCTGCAGAGATTCAATTTCAAAGTAATGAGCATTTTAAAAAACAAATTTGAAGTTTGTTTTGTCTGTAACACCATCTGGAGGTATTACCCATCAAAGCGTACGAGGAAAAAATACATATCTAGCACCTAAATCACGAAATTAGATGCTAATAAATGACATGTTTTAAAACAAACAAAAAAAATGTTTGAAATATCAGAACCAACTCCACCCTAGCATGTACAAATTACAATGAATTGCTTAATTTCTTTAAAAACTGAATGGCATATCTTGGATGAAAAAGCTTTTAAATCACTGCATTGGAACAACATTTTGACACAAATAAATATACCAGATTTTTCCAGATGAATAAAAATCAGTTTTCCCATAATGTTCTGTGAAGATAAGTCCAGCCGATTCAAATGGGAGGCAATGAAATATAAGTGCAGTAGATATACAGGGGCCTTTGTTTTGGTGTGATGGTATTTACGGAGCCTGTATCATCTGTACCAAACCAGCTTCAGCTTCCTCACCCTCCATAAAGCTCAGATAAACTCACAGGTTATGGTACAGACAGTCATAAATCTAATTCATTAAATTTTGCAACAGAGAAAAATATTTAATCTTTTATTATTTTGTATGACAATGAGAGAAGTGTTTTTTAGTACAGACAGTCATAGATCTAATTCATTAAATTTAGCACCAGAGAAAAATTTGTATCTTTTATCATTTTGTATGACAATGATAGAGGTACTTGTTTAGGAATAAATTCATGAGTTGTTGTTTTAGTGGCAAGTGCGGGAGGTGACAGCACCAGTTTTAGAAGTCGGTTGTAAACTTCTATATCACTTTAAAATTCATGACTGATCATAATAACTTTTCTAACAATCCATGAAATTAATCTATTCTCCCTGTTTATGTATATAAGTTTGTACTAAGCTAAGAAACACTTTATATATATCTGTAAAATTGTTTAATGACTTTTTTTTTTTAGATCTGCTGTAAATCTTTCTGCGTTCACTTTGGAGTTAAAGTTTTAGGTGTTATTTTGATACTGTCTGAAGTACAATCAAGAGACATAATATAAGTTTCAGGTTTAAGTATGATGCAGAATCTACAACTATGTAAATCTGGAATGAAAATTGAGGACTCTTCCCCAGGATAGCTGACTTGTATAAATATGACAATATATTTCCACATCTCAGACAAGCTAAACTTAAACAGATTACTCAGGCCACAAAGACAGGAAGTACTGATAGGAGATAGAAAATAACACACATAATTTCTAGTAACAGAAAATGGTCCCTCCCATGATAAGCAATCTGTTTTTACAACATGACCTTGACCTCATGCCATCAGGTTCAGTTTCTGAGATAAGAGTTTTTAGACTGTGACAGAGGAAGTATACCATTCCATGAGGTATATTCTCTAGTGGCTACTACATAATGATGGCTTAGAAAAACATATCAATGCAATACTTGATTATCTTTTTGATAGAACATGGGCGTAATTGGTTAGCATCATATATAAATTTTTAAAATAAAGATTTTATACCTACATGTGCATGTATGATGGTATTATTCACAGATACACCCAAATGCAGTTCATTAATACATGCACTTATATGTAGTTCTGAAATACTTGCTTTAGACAGGTCTGAATGTGCTCCATGAGTGGTTGCTTTAGACAGGTTTGAATGTGTTTCATGAGTGGTTGCTTTAGACAGGTCTAAATGTTTCACATTTATTGGTTGCTTTAAATAGGTTTGAATGGGTTTCATGAGTGGCTTCAGACTGAATGTGCTGCAAAGTGGTTGCTTCAGACAGATCTGACTGTTTTTTGAAGGGTAGCTATATACAGGTCTGTATGTATTTATTTTGAACAGTATACAATGCTTTTAAAATTGTACATTATTGAAGGGCATAAGTTTGAATTTAAACTAGTAAACAACAACTGTAAATCAACAGTGAGTTGGCATTTCCTGACAAATTCCCAAAGTGAAGCTAACTCGTTTTCTTATTAAGTTAGTCTGACAAAAACTAAGCAACTATCTTACAATTAGAAAATTGTAAAAACTTCTTAATGTAAAGAAAGATAAAGACAATTCATCTTTACAGAAAAGAAGAAAATCAGTCCCAGGAAGGGTGGAAGAACTAACTTCCTGGTAATTATTGAGTAGAAGTGGAATGTGGCAGGATGTCTATATCTAAAGGTACCATCAATGCTGAGGCAGGAAAAACATCAGATTAATTTTCTGTGAAAAAGACAATCAATTTTAACACATTTTCTATCCTATGACCCTCGAAATAAAAATTCTTCTGAAATTCTTTTCATTTTCACAAATCATTTGAACCAAGTGATTTTTGAAATTGAGCAAAGGTTTGAAGAAATTTAACAACCCTTCATTATAGGTATGGCAAAGTTAGACAATATAATAACTTTATATCTTAGGGTTCTGAAGAGGAAGTTCTTTGAATAATAGATGACAAAGGACTATCACCACACACTTTGTGCAATGCAAGTTAAAACTGTTGATGTACTTACAGTCTTTGTAGGCCTTGTCAATGATGTTACTATCCTGTGCATGATGATAGGAAAAGATTGATTTACCAATCAATTCCTCACTGCTGTATCCAACCAATTCTTTCATCCTTAAATACAAACCAAAACTTTGTGTGATATTGACCTTGGACAGAGCAGTTTGTCACTGTTAGCAAAGAATACTTATATCCTTAAAATTGACATTTGATTTATTAACTAGTTTAACAAGAGATCCTCATGGTTTAATTGTTCGGAAAATAAGGACATCATGATAGTTCAGAAAACGAAGAAAATTTCTGGAGACAAACACTAACCTGCTATCGCAGTAAGTGAACTTAGAGTCCATGTTGTGTCTACTGAGGACTGTTTTGCAGTCGAGGAGAACCTCTATGTTGGATGGGTGTGGTATCGGTTCACCCACCCCGAGGAAATATCCAGAACTACGTGGCTCCTTCTCCACCTTCTCCTCCAACTCTTGTTCCATATCATCATCTCTTTCATCTTTGTCCTCCTCTTCCTCATTTTGAATCACTCTTTCTTCCTTTATCTCAACAAGTTTCCCCGTAAACTTTATCACCTGAAAACAAATTATGACACTGAACTAATTTTTTTCTTCAAACACACAAAAAATTCAATAGTACAAAAATAGTTCCAAACCTGTCAAGCTTTAATCACAATCTACTAAAGTAGTGAAGGTTTCATTAATACACAAGTATTTACTATTGGGTCGAGCGATAAAATGTTACCAATTTTATACTGCTATAAGCCTAGGGGCCAACATACACACTTCTACCAAAGACCAGGTGTTGGTTGTATTGTATGGAAATAAAATAGCATTGATTTGTAATTCTTCTGAACAGCAATATACAGCATTGATTTGTAATTCTTCTGAACAGCAATATACAGCATTGATTTGTAATTCTTCTGAACAGCAATATATGGCTCTACTGTAAGATGAAATTCTATAACAAAGATTGTTATTCCTAGCATCAACGATGACTGGAATAATTTACAAATATTTTATTTGGAGACCTGATAAAAAAATTTAGTGGTAAAAACTTCCAGATTTTGTCCATATAATAAATAAGTATAACAGAAGATGAAGGTGATGGCAATATAGCATTGAGTGTTAAACAGAAGTGACCACACCTTGTTTATCATAGTATCTAAGTTTGGTTTGAGGAATACCAGGTTTATCTTCCTTAACATAAAACCTTACATCTGTCTGCATGTTTTCATTCACTTCATCTTTATTTTAAGGGAGCATATTTTTGTCAGAATGTCATGTTTCTCAGTGCAAATTATACAATTTTCTGAAATTCTGAAGAATGCACTTCATAACATATGTATTATGTTTACAATTCTTTGGAAAAAATCCAAAATCCAAATGTGTTTACAGTCAACTTTCTGTACACAGGTGAAGTTAATTTTCACATCTCACATCAATTTTTTCTGTCTATTTCACAATAATCTTAATTATGTATATGCTGATGTTTTCAGCTGGAAATTTCAATGAATAGGTGTTTTTCTAACCAGAGACTGTATTATTGTCATGGCAGAGTAAAGGTGATATTTTAAACACAGTTTCACTGGATAGTGAAAAAAACACAATCTTTCAATTTTGCTTTGAAAATTTATATGTTTGTTTTTTTTAAAGTTTTTTTTTCTGTGTAACAAATTACAGATATCTAGTGATAAGGTTTCATACATTCCATATAGGCAACACAAATACACCTAACAACCCTTACAGTATGTCATATTGTTTGGAAGACTGATGTCAGTGCTAACACAAATCTTAATTTAAAATGCAGATATATATATTCACATTTGTATGACAGCACCTGACTATATGAATTAACCTGTGAAAAAAATGTAATTTAAGGTAACATCATTTAAGGTAACATGACTTCAGAATTAATCTGAAAAGTAAATAATTTAAGATACAATGACTACATTAATAAACCTGTGAAATAAATGTAATTCATGACACCATAAATGACACCTAGCACAAGGATGGTTCACTATCAGCATGGCTGTCCTACTAGACAAATCACCAAGTATTAAATGGTATAAGTTATGGATGGAGCATACAAACATAAGCAGTATGTAAAATGATATTTATCACCAATTCTGTGACCGTAATAGCAACTATTATCTTACTATATAAACATTTAAGGCTGTATGGTACACTGTTCTGAATTACTTCCCTTTATATCTAGATTGTTGTAACTCTCCAATGTTTAATTTTAGTTATCTTCCTGATCTCTACATACAGTGGCTGTAACTTTTTTCTCTGGTAAAACAGATCAGATTCCCATTCGAGATACAACCTTTTGTGTATAGAAATATCCCATTATGTAGTTTTACATTCTGTACAGTACATAGACATGCATTACAATGATATGCTAAAAATCTTATCAGACATTCAAATCAGTAATCTTATCCAAAGATGCAAAATGGAAATTTGATTTTCAAAAGTTCAAACCAAATTTTTCTTACAAAAAATATATCTTCTATTTTTATTTTTTCCCCTTAATTCTATACTCAAAGGAAGATTTCTCCTGTATAAAAATCTAGAACAAATTCAGATTCAATTAAAAACTAAATTTGAAATATCAAATTTAAATCAACCTATCACTGTCAGAGTTGGGTAAAGGGCAGACATGTAAAATTACAGTTAGTGGTGCATCAGCTGGGCAGATTATACAACGATGTGCTCAAACCAAGAGATGTCATGTTAAGTATGGTCATTTAATGTCCAATTGATATTTCGTTAAAATATACCCGGTAATCAATATTAAAGTTTAAAGGTAACATATCGCAGAAATAAGACCATTAGGAACAGACCAGACAATGGAAAAAGAACAGACCAGACCAATGTAAAAGGAACAGAACAGACTATTGGAAAAGGAACAGACCAGATCACTGGAAAAAGAACAGATCAGACAATGGAAAAGGAATAGACCAGATCATTGGAAAAGGAATAGACCAGACAATGGAAAAAGAACAGACCAGACCAATGTAAAAGGAACAGATCAGATCATTGGAAAAGGAATAGACCAGACAATGGAAAAGGAACAGACCATATCATTGGAAAAGGAATAGACCAGACAATGGAAAAGGAACAGACCAGACCAATGTAAAAGGAACAGATCAGATCATTGGAAAAGGAATAGACCAGACAATGGAAAAAGAACAGACCAGACCAATGTAAAAGGAACAGATCAGATCATTGGAAAAGGAATAGACCAGACAATGGAAAAGGAACAGACCAGATCATTGGAAAAGGAATAGACCAGACAATGGAAAAGGAACAGACCAGACCAATGTAAAAGGAACAGATCAGATCATTGGAAAAGGAACAGATCAGATCATTGGAAAAGGAACAGACCAGATCATTGGAAAAGGAACAGACCAGACAATGGAAAAGGAATAGACCAGACAATGGAAAAAGAACAGACCAGACCAATGTAAAAGGAACAGATCAGATCATTGGAAAAGGAATAGACCAGACAATGGAAAAGGAACAGACCAGACCAATGTAAAAGGAACAGATCAGATCATTGGAAAAGGAATAGACCAGACAATGGAAAAGGAACAGACCAGACCAATGTAAAAGGAACAGATCAGATCATTGGAAAAGGAATAGACCAGACAATGGAAAAAGAACAGACCAGACCAATGTAAAAGGAACAGGCCAGATCATTGGAAAAGGAATAGATCAGATCATTGGAAATTATACAAAGACACTGTTTTTTTTTAATTTCACAATTTCCATATGTAATCTGAGCTGGGGTTATTATCATAATCAATGAATCTTTGCATATCTACTGTATCTTTTAATATGCATGTTATACATCACAAATTCATATGCACAAGTGAAATTCATGAAGCCAAAAGACTTCCACATATTCAGTGTGAATTTACCCAAAGGTAAACTCCCATTAAACAGACCTCACCTTAATAGGACCAGATACACAGCTACCTCATCAAACATTCCTCACCTTAATGGGTTTAGATACACAGATACCTCATCAAATACACTTCACCTTAATGGGACCAGATACACAGATACCTCATCAAACACACCTCACCATAATGAGGCTAGACACACAGATAACTCATTAAACACACCTCACTATAATGAGGCTAGATACACAGATACCTCATCAAACATTCCTCAACATAATGGGACTAGATACACAGCTACCTCATCAAACACACCTCACCATAATGAGGCTAGACACACAGATAACTCATTAAACACACCTCACTATAATGAGATTAGATACACAGATACCTCATCAAACATTCCTCAACATAATGGGACTAGATACACAGCTACCTCATCAAACATTCCTCACCATAACACACACACAGATAACTCATTAAACACACCATAATACACAGATACCTCATCAAACATTCCTCAACATAATGGGACTAGATACACAGCTACCTCATCAAACACACCTCACCATAATGAGGCTAGATACACAGATACCTAATCAAACACACCTTACTATAATAGGACTAGATACACAGATACCTCATCAAACACACCTTACTATAATAGGACTAGATACACAGATACCTCATCAAACACACCTTACCATGTTATCATAATGGGAACATATTTATATTTTTCAGTTGATCTGAGTATATCATTGAATTCATATCCTAGTCCTCAATTAACTGATCAATCACATGATGCCTCAGTGTCAACGTATTTCTGCCATCAATTCATTACATATAATGATGCAGAAGAAATAGAATTTCTGTTCCATTTTCCTGCTTCCCTTCAAAGCAGGAAGTGATGTGCTTCATAATAAAACTGAGGTATTAAATACACAATGTAGAAGTATCTACATTTAGTAAATTCACCGATGGTAATGGGTATAAGCCTGTACCATCAATATATATTCACACCAAGCTTTTTTAACAGCTCATTAACCAGCATTCACAAGAGGATCTATAAATCCAATTGAGTATTATTATCATCATTTATTTCTGTGGTAGTGCACTGGGCAGACAACCTGCTTTCAGGACAGCTACAGAATTTTTTATTTAATCTGGTTCTATAGTGTGCACTGGGCAGACAACCTGCTTTCAGGACAGCTACAGAATTTTTTATTTAATCTGGTTCTATAGTGTGCACTGGGCAGACAACCTGCTTTCAGGACAGCTACAGAATTTTTTATTAAATCTGGTTTTACAGTGATCAATCACAACATTATCAACATCATGATCGATCCTTCACATCAACTGGTCTTATCTATGAATTTAAAATGATCTTGATACCAACTATATGTGATAATATGAATTACAAATGCTCTTAAAACAGACTATGTTAAAACTGACTAACGAAATAACCTTGATATGCCCTACAAATGACCTTAACATTAACTAATCTCACATCTGATATCATTTACAAATGACCTTGCCATCATCTGACCAAGCATATGACAACCAAAGTTTCAAATGACCTGACATTAACTAACCTTGCAATTACATATGACAAACTCAGAAATGATCTAGACAGATATCTGACCTTGTATGTGTGATATCACTTAACAAGTAATGAAGAAAATGTTGATAAGGTTGTGTCATTTAATGACTAGCATCAGCAACTTGTAGGGGCGATAATCCAATGATTACGGTAATGTCCGGCAGATGGAGTAGGAGTAAACTTTCGATTTATGAACCAATGAAAACGAAGTACTGATACTCGGGGCCAGGGGCGACAGCAACATGCTGAAGAGCATTGAAAATGCTCTTAGCATAAAAATGACTTTGAAATTAAATGACCATGCATGTGACAAGATGAATTACAAATGACCTTGACATTAACTGACCATGCATTTGACATTTACAAATGACCTTGCATGTGACAACCAGACTTATAGATGACCTCGACATTAACTGACCTTGTATGAAGCAGACTTAAGATTTACACTTCTGCCCTTGCTGGTAAGTGTACATTTCATCCTCACGAAGATACAGTGTTCCTCGGCTTGTTGCTCCACACCTTTGTGAGACTTGGTGGACATCATGTCTGCAATCTCTTCGTGGTCACAGGGATGAGCAAAGTCGTAGAGACTCTGGCCAATCATATCAATCTGGATAAATAAACATGGTATATAATATATATATCTTTAAACTGTTTTTTTTAACAATTTAAGTAACTTTACTTCAACATGTGAGTTATCACATAATTGCTTCCTAAACAAAATCGATATTTGTACAAAAATCACATGATGCAGATTAATATAGTAACATTGATAATCATAAGGTAGTATTTTACCTGTGGTATGCCAAGGTACTTGGCCACACTCTCCGAAACGTAGGCCATGTCAGAGTTGTCAGAAATGATGACTACAAAGCCATCTAAAGCCTTTCCATAAAGGTTGTCAACATCATCCAAGCTTTCTTTGGAGTCAAAATCTGCAAAATGAATAAAACACTTGTAAGTGTTGTATTGGTGTTTGCTCTATTAGGAAGCTGTATCTGGACTTTACTTAAAACATCTTGTCAGATATAACAATTATTCAGCATTATTGACAACCAAACTAAAGACTTTATATAAGACATAGAACCAACAGTCAGTAGAATAGCACTCAGTATCTAAATATCAAGGTGAGATATTATCAAATTTGAAATTCTTAATTTTTTTTATTTCATCAAATATAATTTATTTGATCATTAAGTAACAGAGTTCGGGAGGTGCAGTCACACTTGCCTTTCACCCAGCTGTCTTGGGTTCAATTCCCAGAACAGAGGTATAAAAAAAAAGCGGGGCCCTGCCCGACCATATGGGTTTTAATGCACTTACATCCAGGCTAACAAGAGTGATAAGTATAAGTTGAAATAACATGTTTCACAATTATTGTGATTATTGTGAAATTAATTGGTGTAGGATGGTGTTTTGTGTGATAAGAATTGGAGTTTGTGTTATATAATTTACGTACCATTATCATTCCAAAATGTGTAATTCAATATATTATAAGAATGTATTGACAAAAAGGATGATATTTCTAAACCTGTGTCTTCACCACTATACACTGCTGTATACGGAGATACTTGCCATGTGTATTTACCCAAGGAGAAAATAGGAAAAGTGTGTAGAAGAAATGGGATGGTACTTGTTGTACATGTTACTCTCTGGGTTTGTGTGATTTTCACTGTCTTAGTTGATGTTACATCGTGTTTCTATAAGTTGTCATTGTATAAGTTGATGTGTTTGGTAAATGAAGAGTAGGAGGTGTGTAAGAAAATTTACCTCCAGGGTTGCCTGTATTATTCTTTACAGTGATATTTAACAAGCACCTGCCTTGGACCAAGTAACATGTCAACATTTCACAGTTTCTAGCATGAACCTGTTAGTTTTATCACTGAATATCACACCAATGTGATATCTACACAGGATACCAACCACCTTTTTCCTTTTTTCTTGCCAATCCTTGAAAATGCTGATTTCAATATGACTAGGATGAAATAATTCATCACTGTAGTTTAGCTTAGGTATGATTTTACACAGTTTTTATCATAATTTGAAAACAAAGTACTCACTTTGAACATCCATCTTTTCCATTATTTGGCGTATCTTGAGGTGGCTAATGGCCACTCTCATCACAGACGCTTTGTCCAGTTGATTGAGACAAGGTGGAAGTGGCAACTCTTTAGCAAGCTCCGAGAACACCTCTGTCTCCTTCCCCCGGCGGCAACGGGCCGCATCGCGGGACTTCTCCTTTCGTTTTTCTGAATTTCTGAGGAATAAACAACAAATCTAAATAAATAAGAACTATATATTGACATCTTTATTAAGTTAAAGTTTGTATAGGGTTTGTTAATAAATATTACATTTGTACAGATGACTGGGAAATTCAAGGGGAACCGTTTCAACATATATTCAATTAACATATCTATCCTCAAGATCTAATACTGTAAATGTCAAGTTCTTCCAAAGACTGTTTTATCAAAGATCTGCAGTATATAGGTAACACATTTATAAAGCTGTGAAAACAGTAAATGAGTTTTACATTTAACATCTACTTTGAATCAATTGAAGTGCCTGACTTTGTAGCAAACCATGATCATTTAAATCTGTTGCTGGAATTAAATAGGATTGTACAAATTCTGATACAATCAATTCAATTTACAGTGAAAGGATGTCCCATAGGGTCATCAGTATGTCCCACAGGGTTATCAGTATGTCCCACAGGGTCATGAGTATGTCCCACAGGGTCATGAGTATGTCCCACAGGGTCATGAGTATGTCCCACAGGGTCATCAGTATGTCCCACAGGATCATCAGAATGTCCCACAGGGTCATGAGTATGTCCCACAGGGTCATGAGTATGTCCCACAGGGTCATGAGTATGTCCCACAGGGTTATCAGTATGTCCCACAGGGTCATCAGTATGTCCCACATGGTCATCAGTATGTCCCACAGGGTCATGAGTATGTCCCACATGGTCATCAGTATGTCCTACAGGGTCATCAGTATGTCCCACAGGATCATCAGTATGTCCCACAGGGTTATGAGGATGTCCCACAGGGTCATGAGTATGTCCCACAGGGTCATGAGTATGTCCCACAGGATCATCATAATGTCCCACAGGGTCATGAGTATGTCCCACAGGGTCATCAGAATGTCCCACATGGTCATGAGTATGTCCCACAGGGTCATCAGTATGTCCCACAGGGTCATCAGTATGTCCCACAGGGTTATCAGTATGTCCCACAGGGTTATCAGTATGTCCCACAGGGTCATCAGAATGTCCCACAGGGTTATGAGTATGTCCCACAGGGTCATGAGTATGTCCCACAGGATCATCAGAATGTCCCACAGGGTTATGAGTATGTCCCACAGGGTCATGAGTATGTCCCACAGGGTTATCCATGAAATAAAACTGATCATTTTTTTATGGTACAGTGATCTTATTTTGATGTGTAAGATTTTTATACTACATAGCATTTTAATTACTTTAACCACCAAACATGGATTTTGACTGTTTTGATTCTGATTCCATGCAATGAAATATTTAGATATTTTATCACCTCGTCAGCAGTTCCTGATACCACTGATATCATGTTGACCTGAGTCAGGTGAGTCGGTGACACTGATATACCGTCTGACCCACTGTTTGTAACCTTATTTTACAGTCAATATCTTAATCATATGTGCTTTTTGGGTTCCGCATAATATCTAATTTCAAAAATAAGTCTATGTTCAGCGAAAGATTTCCCTGATGTTGAGTAGAGATCCTACAGGTTGTGAAAGAAAATTGTGACCTACATTTATGTCGGTAAAGAAATGATAGAAACTTCTACTGACTAGGGAAAAGATAGTAAAGGCAACAGCTGGTATACCAAGACTAATACATCATGACAAAATGGACAGATTCTGACACCAACAGACAGACACATCATGATTAAAAGGACAGATTCTGACACCAACAGACAGACACATCATGATTAAAAGGACAGATTTTGACACAAACAGACACATCTTGATAAGATAGGCAGATTCTGTTCCAACAGACAGACACACCATGATACAATGACAGATTCCGACACCAACAGACAGACACATCATGATAAAATGGACAGATTCTAACACCAACAGACAGACACATCATGATACAATGACAGATTCTGACATCAACAGACACATCATGATAAGATGGGCAGATTCTGTACCAACAAACAGACACATCATGATACAATGACAGATTCTGACACCAACAGACAGACACATCATGATAAAATGGACAAATTTTGACACAAACAGACACATCATGATAAGATGGGCAGATTCTATTCCAACAGACAGACGCATCATGATACAATGACAGATTCTGACACCAACAGACAGACACATCATGATAAATTGCACAGATTCTGACATCAACAGACAGACACATCATGATAAAATGGACAGATTCTAACACCAACAAACAGACACATCATGATACAATGACATATTCTGACACCAACAGACAGACACATCATGATAAAATGGACAAATTCTGATACAAACAGACACATCATGATAAGATGGGCAGATTCTGTACCAACAAACACACACATCATGATACAATGGACAGATTCTGACACCAACAGACAGACACATCATGATAAAATGCAGATTCTGACACCAACAGACAGACACATCATGATAAAATGGACAAATTCTGACATCGACAGACACATCATGATAAGATGGGCAGATTCTGTACCAACAAACAGACACATCATGATACAATGGACAGATTCTGACACCAACAGACAGACACATCATGATAAAATGCACAGATTCTGACACCAACAAACAGACACATCATGATACAATGACAGATTCTGACACCAACAGACAGACACATCATGATAAAATGGACAAATTCTGACATCGACAGACACATCATGATAAGATGGGCAGATTCTGTACCAACAAACAGACACATCATGATACAATGGACAGATTCTGACACCAACAGACAGACACATCATGATAAAATGGACAAATTCTGACATCGACAGACACATCATGATAAGATGGGCAGATTCTGTACCAACAGACAGACACATCATGATACAATGACAGATTCTGACACCAACAGACAGACACATCATGATAAAATGCACAGATTCTGACACCAACAAGCAGACACATCATGATAAAATGGGCAGATTCTGTACCAACAAACAGACACATCATGATACAATGACAGATTCTGACAACAACAGACAGACACATCATGATAAGATGGACAGATTCTGTACCAACAAACAGACACATCATGATACAATGACAGATTCTGACACCAACAGACAGACACATCATGATAAAATGCACAGATTCTGACACCAACAGACAGACACATCAACATACAATGACAGATTTTGACACCAACAGACAGACACATCATGGTAAAATGCACAGATTCTGACATCAACAGACAGACACATTATGATACAATGGACAAATTCTGACATTAACAGACAGACACATCATGATAAAATGCACAGATTCTGACATTAACAGACAGACACATCATGATACAATGGACAAATTCTGACACCAACAGACAGACACATTATGATACAATGGACAAATTCTGACATCAACAGACACATTATGATATAATGGACAAATTCTGACATCAACAGACACATTGTGATAAGATGGACAAATTCTGACATCAACAGACACATTATGATACAATGGGCAAATTCTGACATCAACAGACACATTATGATACAATGGACAAATTCTGACATCAACAGACACATTATGATACAATAGACAAATTCTGACATCAACAGACACATTATGATACAATGGACAAATTCTGACATCAACAGACACATTATGATACAATGGACAAATTCTGACATCAACAGACACATTATGATACAATGGACAAATTCTGACATCAACAGACACATTATGATACAATGGACAAATTCTGACACCAACAGACAGACACATCATGATAAGATGGGCAGATTCTGTACCAACAAACAGACACATCATGATACAATGGACAGATTCTAACACCAACAGACAGACACATCATGATACAATGGACAGATTCTAACACCAACAGACAGACACATCATGATACAATGACAGATTCTGACATCAACAGACACATCATGATAAGATGGGCAGATTCTGTACCAACAAACAGACACATCATGATACAATGACAGATTCTGACACCAACAGACAGACACATCATGATAAAATGGACAGATTCTAACACCAACAAACAGACACATCACGATACAACGGACAGATTCTAACACCAACAGACAGACGCATCATGATACAATGACAGATTCTGACACCAACAGACAGACACATCATGATAAATTGCACAGATTCTGACACCAACAGACAGACACATCATGATACAATGACAGATTCTGACACCAACAGACAGACACATCATGATACAATGACAGATTCTGACACCAACAGACAGACACATCATGATAAAATGGATAAATTTTGACACAAACAGACACATCATGATAAGATGGGCAGATTCTATTCCAACAGACAGACGCATCATGATACAATGACAGATTCTGACACCAACAGACAGACACATCATGATAAATTGCACAGATTCTGACACCAACAGACAGACACATCATGATAAAATGGACAGATTCTAACACCAACAAACAGACACATCATGATACAATGACATATTCTGACACCAACAGACAGACACATCATGATAAAATGGACAAATTCTGATACAAACAGACACATCATGATAAGATGGGCAGATTCTGTACCAACAAACACACACATCATGATACAATGGACAGATTCTGACACCAACAGACAGACACATCATGATAAAATGCAGATTCTGACACCAACAGACAGACACATCATGATAAAATGGACAAATTCTGACATCGACAGACACATCATGATAAGATGGGCAGATTCTGTACCAACAGACAGACACATCATGATAAAATGCACAGATTCTGACACCAACAGACAGACACATCATGATAAAATGGGCAGATTCTGTACCAACAAACAGACACATCATGATACAATGACAGATTCTGACACCAACAGACAGACACATCATGATAAAATGGACAAATTTTGACACCAACAGACACATCATGATACAATGACAGATTCTGACACCAACAGACAGACACATCATGATAAAATGGACAAATTCTGACATCGACAGACACATCATGATACAATGACAGATTCTGACACCAACAGACAGACACATCATGATAAAATGGACAAATTCTGACATCGACAGACACATCATGATAAGATGGGCAGATTCTGTACCAACAGACAGACACATCATGATAAAATGCACAGATTCTGACACCAACAGACAGACACATCATGATAAAATGGGCAGATTCTGTACCAACAAACAGACACATCATGATACAATGACAGATTCTGACACCAACAGACAGACACATCATGATAAAATGGACAAATTTTGACACCAACAGACACATCATGATGAGATGGACAGATTCTGTACCAACAAACAGACACATCATGATACAATGCAGATTCTGACACCAACAGACAGACACATCATGATAAAATGGACAAATTCTGACATCGACAGACACATCATGATAAGATGGGCAGATTCTGTACCAACAAACAGACACATCATGATACAATGGACAGATTCTGACACCAACAGACAGACACATCATGATAAAATGCACAGATTCTGACACCAACAAGCAGACACATCATGATAAAATGGGCAGATTCTGTACCAACAGACAGACACATCATGATACAATGACAGATTCTGACACCAACAGACAGACACATCATGATAAAATGGCCAAATTCTGACATCAACAGACACATTATGATACAATGGACAAATTCTGACATCAACAGACACATTATGATACAATGGACAAATTCTGACATCAACAGACACATTATGATACAATGGACAAATTCTGACATCAACAGACACATTATGATACAATGGACAAATTCTGACATCAACAGACACATTATGATACAATGGACAAATTCTGACATCAACAGACACATTATGATACAATGGACAAATTCTGACATCAACAGACACATTATGATACAATGGACAAATTCTGACATCAACAGACACATTATGATACAATGGACAAATTCTGACATCAACAGACACATTATGATCCAACGGACAAATTCTGACATCAACAGACACATTATGATACAATGGACAAATTCTGACATCAACAGACACATTATGATACAATGGACAAATTCTGACATCAACAGACACATTATGATACAATGGACAAATTCTGACATCAACAGACACATTATGATACAATGGACAAATTCTGACATCAACAGACACATTATGATACAATGGACAAATTCTGACATCAACAGACACATTATGATACAATGGACAAATTCTGACATCAACAGACACATTATGATACAATGGACAAATTCTGACATCAACAGACACATTATGATACAATGGACAAATTCTGACATCAACAGACACATTATGATACAATGGACAAATTCTGACATCAACAGACACATTATGATACAATGGACAAATTCTGACATCAACAGACACATTATGATACAATGGACAAATTCTGACATCAACAGACAGACACATTATGATACAATGGGCAAATTCTGATCCTCCCCCATTTCTACTCCAAGTCAATAACACCAATATTAATTTGTGTGTGTATTATATATGTTTATCAAAAGCATTAAACACTTGAATTCATATCCCACAACCCAAACACCAATTCTACCATCCAAGAAATTTCAAACAATTAAGGACAAATGGTTCTAAGGATAGGAACCAGCCAAATGCAATTATGAAGTTTAGGAAAATGTGTCAATGCTGATGATACAACAATGCCAAATGATCCCCTATCTGTATCTAATCCAAGAAAATCATACTAAACAAAAAAATCTTGATTGCACAGTTCAACTCCTTCATTGGTTCTATGGTATAACAGACAGATATGCAATGAAATTATCAGTTTTTCCAGACATATACTAATTATTCTGGATTACAAGATCATGCATAGATGTTAAACATAGTAATTATTCTGTAGAGGAGCATAGATTTCCGTTTAACATCTGAGCTTTGTGACTGAATATAGAATCGGTGACACAAATATCTTGAATATGGATTATAAAAAAAGACTTCAGCAGGAAATTGCCACTTTCATTAAAACGGAAAGCAACCTTATTCAACAGTGCTCAAGCTGATGACTTACTTGTATGGCATGGCTCCGAGTGTTGAGATCACAAGATTGCCTCTGATATTCCCATGTACGAGGTTAATAATGAGTACAGGAAAGTGACACTAATAGAAATAGGTATCTAGAACTTCAACAAAGGGAGAAAACTGGCTCCAACTAATCAAGAATCTCCAACTTAGCAAGAATAAAAAGTCTAGTAAATGAGGTTTGAAATACCTCCAATAAATTGTAAACACTGAGTAAAAATTCAAGTCTACCAGATTTATAGAAAATATATGATACTTGAAAACCTGATATGAAAAAGTCATTAATTAAAAGAAATCCAGCAGAACATCTCAGTTTCACATTCAGGTCAACAGTAGCTTCATTAGAACCACAGAACTCCTTCTGTTTCTTGTTATGGAAATTAAAAACAGTGTTCACTGAATCACTCAGATGTTTTCACAGATCCCTCTGCATCATCACAACTTATCTTAAATAAATGGATTCAAATCAATCTCAGTTCATTTTAGGTTTGATATTTAATCCCTTTGACTGGTAGGAAATGTTTGAAACTTTCAAGCCATCAGATGATACACTACACCAGCTGAAACTTCCAGCAAATACAGATAGAGATTTCGTGGAAGTGCACATGTAATTTGACGTAGCAGCAATCCTAATGCTGCTAATGTTTTGACACACCAGTTATATGTGATGTAGATACAAACATTTAATTGATCATGATTAATAATCACCAATAACACTGATCAATGTTCCCACAGTTGAGGTTTACTTCACAGGATCTTGACCACTACATCACAGAAACATCATCGATCTCTTTCTATAGAGTATGTAGATCAACCTTCACAAAAAGAACCAATCAGAAAAGAATGGAGAAAAGAAGCTGAACACTTTGTTCTGGTATATATATATTAATTCACAGTTCACGTCATAAAATCTTTATCCGAAATATAGGTCACACAAGTAAAACTGTGACATCCTCTGTTTAAAATACATAAGATTAAATTTCAGCAACAGAAATATGCCAACAGATCTAGCATAAAATTGAAGCAGAAAATAGTCTTCCTTAAATATATATCCACAAAACGTAGGTGTAAAACTTTCTGTAAATATCTGTAATGGTGAAATATTATCCTTTCTGTAAATATCTGTAATGGTGAAATATTATCCTTTCTGTAAATATCTGTAATGGTGAAATATTATCCTTTCTGTAAATATCTGTAATGGTGAAATATTGTCCTTTCTGTAAATATCTGTAATGGTGAAATATTATCCTTTCTGTAAATATCTATAATGGTGAAATATTGTCCTTTCTGTAAATATCTGTAATGGTGAAATATTATCCTTTGTGTAAATATCTATAATGGTGAAATATTATCCTTTCTGTAAATATCTGTAATGGTGAAATATTATCCTTTGTGTAAATATCTATAATGGTGAAATATTATCCTTTCTGTAAATATCTATAATGGTGAAATATTGTCCTTTCTGTAAATATCTGTAATGGTGAAATATTATCCTTTGTGTAAATATCTATAATGGTGAAATATTATCCTTTCTGTAAATATCTGTAATGGTGAAATATTGTCCTTTCTGTAAATATCTGTAATGGTGAAATATTATCCTTTCTGTAAATATCTATAATGGTGAAATATTATCCTTTCTGTAAATATCTGCAACAGTGAAATATTGTCCTTTCTGTAAATATCTGCAACAGTGAAATATTGTCCTTTCTGTAAATATCTATAATGGTGAAATATTATCCTTTCTGTAAATATCTGCAACAGTGAAATATTGTCCTTTCTGTAAATATCTGCAACAGTGAAATATTGTCCTTTCTGTAAATATCTGCAACAGTGAAATATTATCCTTTCTGTAAATATCTGTAATGGTGAAATATTATCCTTTCTGTAAATATCTGTAATGGTGAAATATTATCCTTTCTGTAAATATCTGTAATGGTGAAATATTGTCCTTTCTGTAAATATCTGCAACAGTGAAATATTGTCCTTTCTGTAAATATCTGCAACAGTGAAATATTGTCCTTTCTGTAAATATCTGCAACAGTGAAATATTATCCTTTCTGTAAATATCTGTAATGGTGAAATATTGTCCTTTCTGTAAATATCTGTAATGGTGAAATATTATCCTTTGTGTAAATATCTATAATGGTGAAATATAGTCCTTTCTGAAAATATGTGCAATAGTGAAATATCATCCTTTCTGTAAATACCTACAACAGTGAAATATCATCCTTTCTGTAAATATCTGTACAGTGTAAATATTATCCTTTCTGAAAATATCCACAATGGTGAAATATTGTCCTTTCTGTAAAGATCTGTAACGGTGTAAATATTATCCTTTCTGAAAATATCCACAACAGTGAAATATCATCCATTCTGTAAATATCTGCAACAACCAAGCAGTTGTGTTTATTGCTATTCACAATAGATTTGATTCATAGAATCTTCCAAGTTAGATCATTAACATAATTTTTCTGATTAAAATCCAAGATATAAACACCTGTAGTGTATAAACATTCACATTATGTACACCTCAGCCACAGACCTATGAATTTCAAACAAGAAAATTAATATTTCAAAGCTATGCCGAAATACATCTTGTATGTAGAATACAGAACGGAAGGCTACTGGTGAAGCTCCCGCTAACAATAAACTTCCTGTAAGCAACATTAACAGAGGCTACCTTGATATAACTTACAAGTATCAGTAGTATGATATAGGTTCTCAAGGAGTAATAGGAGTACCACCATTTCTATACCTATTATTGTCAGACATATAATTCAACAGGTCCATTATAGCTAGAGACAAAGTGTTGTGAAAAATCATTCCACAACCAGATTTATGTATGGTAGACCCTGAAAATAACACCGCAATAGATCTGTCCAGTGTCTGACACCAGTAACTCAACAGATCTGTCTAGTGTCTGACACCAGTAACTCAACAGATCTGTCTAGTGTCTGACATCAATAGCCCAATAGATCTGTCTAGTGTCTGACACCAGTAACTCAACAGATCTTTCTAGTGTCTGACACTATTAACTCAACAGATCTGTCTAGTGTCTGACACCAGTAACTCAACAGATCTATCTAGTGTCTGACACTATTAACTCAACAGATCTGTCTAGTGTCTGACACCAGTAACTCAACAGATCTGTCTAGTGTCTGACACCAATAACTCAACCGATCTGTCTGTTGTTTGACACCAGTAACTCAACATATGTCTATTGTCTGATACCAGTAACTCAACAGATCTGTCTTGTGTCTGACACCAATACCTCAACAGATCTGTCTAGTTTCTGATACCAATAACTCAACAGATCTGTCTAATGTTATACATCAGTAACTCAACAGATCTGTCTAGTGTCTGATATCAATAACTCAACATATCTGTCTAGTGTCATACACCAGTTACTCAACAGATCTGTCTAGTGTCTGATATCAATTACTCAACATGTCTGTCTAGTGTCTGATACCAGTAACTCAACAGATCTGTCTGGTGTCTGATACCAATAACTCAACAGATCTGTCTAGTGTCTGACACCAGTAACTCAACAGATCTGTCTAGTGTCTGATATCAATAACTCAACAGATCTGTCTAGTGTCATACTTCGATAACTCCACAACTAAAACAAACTGACTCAAACTCAAGAAGTGGACTTCTAACAGGACAGCTCAAACAAACAGACTCAAACTCAATAATTGGACTTCTAACAGGACAGCTCAAACAAATAGACTCAACTCAAGAATTGGACTTATATCAGGACAGCTCAAACAAACAGACTCAAACTCAAGAAGTGGACTTTTAACAGGACATTTTAAACAAACAGACTCAAACTTAAGAAGTGGAGTTCTAACAGGACAGCTCAAACAAACAGACTCAAACTCAAGAAGAGGACTTCTAACAGGACAGCTCAAACAAACAGACTCAATCTCAAGAAGTGGACTTCTAACAGGACAGCTCAAACAAACAGACTCAATCTCAAGAAGTGGACTTCTAACGGGACAGCTCAAACAAACAGACTCAATCTCAAGAATTGGACTTATATCAGGACAGCTCAAACAAATAGACTCAAACTCAAGAAGTGGACTTCTAACAGGATGGCTCAAACAAACAGACTCAAACTCAAGAAGTGGACTTCTAACAGGACAGCTCAAACAAACAGACTCAATCTCAAGAAGTGGACTTCTAACAGGACAGCTCAAACAAACAGACTCAATCTCAAGAATTGGACTTATATCAGGACAGCTCAAACAAATAGACTCAATCTCAAGAAGTGGACTTCTAACAGGACAGCTCAAACAAACAGACTCAATCTCAAGAAGTGGACTTCTAACAGGACAGCTCAAACAAATAGATTCAAACTCAATAATTGGACTTCTAACTGGACAGCTCAAACAAACAGACTCAAACTCAAGAAGAAGTCAAACAAACAGACTCAATCTCAAGAATTGGACAGACTAACTCAAGATGTGGACTTCTAACAGGATGGCTCAAACAAAAAGACTCAATCTAACAGGACATCTCAAACAAATAGACTCAAACAAACAGACTCAAGACTCAAACTCAAGAAGTAACAGGACAGGAGAATTCTTAACAGGACAGCTCAAACAAACAGACTCAAACTCAAGAAGAGGACTTCTAACAGGACAGCTCAAACAAACAGACTCAATCTCAAGAAGTGGACTTCTAACAGGATGGCTCAAACAAACAGACTCAAACTCAAGAAGTGGACTTCTAACAGGACAGCTCAAACAAACAGACTCAATCTCAAGAAGTGGACTTCTAACGGGACAGCTCAAACAAACAGACTCAATCTCAAGAATTGGACTTATATCAGGACAGCTCAAACAAATAGACTCAAACTCAAGAAGTGGACTTCTAACAGGATGGCTCAAACAAACAGACTCAAACTCAAGAAGTGGACTTCTAACAGGACAGCTCAAACAAACAGACTCAATCTCAAGAAGTGGACTTCTAACAGGACAGCTCAAACAAACAGACTCAATCTCAAGAATTGGACTTATATCAGGACAGCTCAAACAAATAGACTCAATCTCAAGAAGTGGACTTCTAACAGGACAGCTCAAACAAACAGACTCAATCTCAAGAAGTGGACTTCTAACAGGACAGCTCAAACAAATAGATTCAAACTCAATAATTGGACTTCTAACTGGACAGCTCAAACAAACAGACTCAAACTCAAGAAGTGGACTTCTAACAGGATGGCTCAAACAAACAGACTCAATCTCAAGAATTGGACAGACTCAAACTCAAGATGTGGACTTCTAACAGGATGGCTCAAACAAAAAGACTCAATCTAACAGGACATCTCAAACAAATAGACTCAAACTCAAGAAGTGGTCTTCTAACTGGACAGCTCAAACAAATAGACTCAAACTCAAGAAGTGGACTTCTAACAGG